AGAGATGCGAATCTCTCAGGCCTGTAAAACAGCCCAAGGCCAAAAAAAACCAAATATATCTGCGCTAGCGCGTGAATTTGATGTTCCCTATCAACGACTCAGAGCGCGTATTCAGGGCCGAGCTACTCGAAGTTCACGTCCTATCTCAACCAGAACCCTTGATAATTCACAAGAGAAGACACTGATTCGTTGGATTCGTCAGCTTGATAATCTATATCGTCCACCTACAGCCGGAATGATTGAGCAGAGTGCCAATCAAATACTGCAACGGAATACAATCGACGGGCTACCTCGTACAGTTGACAAGAACTGGGTCTATCGCTTTATTAAACGCCTCCCAGACGATTTTAAGCTTATTCAACAGAAGCCAAAAGATAGGAATCGTCTCGATGCAGAGGATATAGGTATTCTTCAGCACTGGTTTGACTGCCTAGAGCCTTTTATCAAGCAGATTCCTCCCAAAAATATATATAACTTTGATAAAACCGGCTTCCAACTGGGACAGGGAAAGTCTCAAAAAGTTGTGACTACTATGCCTGTACGAGCTGCAAGAGGAAATCCATCTAAAGAAATGGGGGAACTGATCTCTGCAATAAAGTATATTACAGCAGATAGTTTTATTCTTCCTCCATACTTTATATTCAAAGGCGTACACCATCTGGAGAGATGGTACAATGCAGATATTCCCGACAAATATCGAATAGCTCTATCTTCTAAAGGCTATACTTCAGATAAAATTGGTCTTGACTGGATCCAACACTTCCACCGTCATACAAAGTGTCGTATCTCTAAAAATAAGATCCGATTACTACTTTTTAATAGCCACGAGTCCCATCTTACCTATGAATTTCTTCAGTTCTGTGGACAACACTATATTATACCTTATTGTTTTCCTCCTCATACAACACATCTTGTACAGCCTCTTGATGGACAACCTTTTCAAGCCTATAAGCACTTTTATCGCAAGCGAAACAATGAGCTTGCTTCAAGGGATGCTGAGATAGACAATAAAAGTGATTTCTTAAAACATATTCATCCTATTCGTACAACAACTTTCAAACAACGTACAATACGGCATGCCTTTGAGAAGCGAGGTATATATCCTTTGGATTCAGAGAAGATAATGAAGCCTCTACAAGAGGCTTTAGAGACTGCTCCAGAACTTGAGATAATTACAACACCATCACCACCACCGTCAAGCTCATCGCCGCCATCTACAATACGAGGTCTTCGCCGAAGTATTAGTAAAGCACAAAGCTTTATTGATAATAATCCAGAGCTTGATCAGAGCTTTATACGACGCCTTGACCGTGTATTCCAGAGCTCACTAGAAGCTACTGAACTAGCCGCTCAGCTTAAAGACAATCTACAACAGCATCTTCAACCCCTGAAGTCTCAAAATAGGCGGAAATCAAAAAGGAGAGTCCGATACAATGGGCCATTAACTGTATTTGATGCAAAACGCCGAATTGCCGATCGTACAGAGGTGGAAAGACTACAGAGCCTTAGGCAGGTTGGAAAAGCAGGAAGTTTAGAGCACAATAAACCACCACAACAGGGAGATATAGGGGATCTGCCTAGTAAAAAGGCTAGTCAGGCGGATAAGGAAGGTCCTAGATTACCCTTTTGGATAGATACTCAAGGCGATGTTGTATAGGAGTTTGAATAGCTTCAAATTTATCGTTGAGGTGGGAATTATCGTTGAGGTGAGGCAGACCAACACGCCGAAGTGCGTGGTGGGTCTGCTGACCTAAGAGACGGCTACGGAGTACGTTGAGAGCAAACCGAATCATATCGACTCCTGGGAGGTCCATGAACTGACTGAAATTATCATACAGGTTAGTAGTCGATACGGTGCCTCAGTCGGTATATAGAATATAAGCCTCCCAGGTTCACGTAGCTCCAGGAAGCACCTTTTCACCCAGTTCTTGAGCGTTTTCAAGCTCCAACCAACTACCATAGTACTAGAGCCTAAAAGCCTCTAGCTTCTAGCTTCTAGCCTCTACAAATTACCTGGAAATTACAGGAGAAGGTGTTATAATAGGCCATAAATAGATTAGACAATTGAATCAGGATTAGTGATCGCTGGTTTCATTATGTGTGGAAAATACAATCCCAACCAAGTATAACTTCATCCACAGTGCTATTCGCACTTTCGGGGTGTGTCCGAACAATGAATTTTGCCTCGGCTGATCAAAATATACGTGCACAATTTTATACATTGACACGTCTGATTCTTATCGAAAGGGGGTTGAAAAGCTGGAACTTGACGTTGTTGGGCGCCAGAAAAAGTCCAACAAGAAAACAGCCGAGGTATGTTTTCCTATTTTGGTTAGGCTGACCGGCCATTCTAGAGATCATGAAACATCCTCACTATTTTCTTGATAAATGTTCATCCACATTTCTGTACAGCAACACAAAAATTCATAACTGTGTATATTGAATCACTATACCAAGGGGGAAAGTAAAATAAGAAGGTTTTTTTTTTTTTTTTAAAAAAAAAAAAAAGAAAAACCGGAACGAAAGTGGGACTGTATCATATTGCTATCTGTATAGCTACCATTGTATATTCTTTATGCATGTTGATAATACAAAAAGAGAAATCTCCACGGCACAGCGTAATGCCGTAGTTACTCTCAGGCACGCTCGATGGAATTTCCCTCCACCAAAAAATTCATTTCTCCCAGCATTGGTTTAAGCCTGAAGCCATACGCTGTGTGGCCTTTCCCAGGTTAACTGTGGCTAAACCATAGACGACAAGGATCAAATGTACAGTTGGCATTTTCAAGTCAGCATTGACGGCAGGACAGAGGCATTGCCACTGATGATACTGGCTGTCAGCAAGTGGATGAGATTGGATCCTTGGCAAAATACTGTGGAGGTATAGATTGACTGACGTTCAGCCTGAACTAACACGAGCCCTGCATGTCTTGATGCGGCATTAGCCAGGCTGTGCCTGCCAACACAATCCTATCTAAACTTTATCAACTTTTACTGCGCAAGGCCTATAATACCTCACGCAAAACTCACCTTGCCCTGTCCATTATGACTTGGAGTTTTACCCTCGACCATGAGTAAGTTGAGCCTTTCAACCGCAGTTGAGATGCGATTACCCAAACAGACGTAACGGATAAATTTTAAGAAAATAACATACGGTCTATGGTCCTGGATCCTTGAGAAATTTGCATATCACAAGCAAAAACGCCGCACCGACTGTGGATTTGACCTAGTCGATCTACATGAACCGTCATGTATCTGCCCCAAAGAGAAACCTCAATGGACTGGACGAGTGCGTATAGCGACAGGGACAACTTTAGGCATATCGGCCGTGAATGTAGCTCTTTCTGTTGCCGGTCCTGCAACTGCATACGCCAAATTTGGTGATCATTGTTTCAGCCAGGCAACCTTCTATGAAGGGTCTTGCACGGCATCGAAGAACTGGACGGTTAGGCTACACTTGCTTACCAACCTTCTCAGTATGATCGTTCTCGCCGCCAGTAGCTACTGTATGCAATGGCTTACAGCCCCAGCTCGTAAAGATATTGACCGCGCCCATTCGCAGAGTATCTCGCTTAGTATAGGTTTGCACAGTATCAGGAACTTGCGGTACACCTCCACATGGCGACGTTTTCTCCGGTGATCCTGCTACTGACATCTCTCCTGTTTCACACCTTGTATGTACTCCACTTTATCTTCTGTTCTTCAATTTTGTTTCCCTTTTTAGAGTTTATTCTGATCGGCTATGATCCGGATACAATTCAGCTGTGTTCTCATCTATAGGGCAGAAAGAGCTTGGAGTTATGCTGGCCCCAGCAGAGTTTGACTTCAAGAACAACTTGGCCGAATCTCAGTAGTTCGAAGGACGCTTCGAGAAGAACCTTGACGAAAGCATAGCCAGCTTTCATTCCGCCGCGATGGATGGTAGGTTAGAACATATGGGGATGGAGGTATGCATGAGCATTATGCGTATGTCTAAAATATACGATTAGGGGGTCTTTACAAAGTCGAGGGACAATTATCCTGCTCTCGAAAGACCTACAAGCAGCTACCCAATCTATCCAATATGGTGGTACGAGGCCAGTTCTCAAATCCTACTTGAGACTTTTCCCAAATGGCACGAGCGGTAATTGGACAGCTAGTGCTCTTCCTTGGAGGATATAAATATGGAACGTGAACGCCACAAAAGCGGATAATACTTTGGCGGTCAATGGGTATGATTCTACTGACACCTACACAAGTGGACACGATCATGGCATGATGCGTTTACTACAGCACCTCGACTCATACTGCGCACTCGCATTCAGCCCAGCAATATGCCTTATTGTGATCATCTGCAATATCATTAAGCTTGCTGCTATGATACCCTGCATGCAGGATACCAGAAGCGACGTGCTTCTTACTGTTGGTGACGTTATAGCTTCCTTCCTCACTTGGCCAGATCAATCGACGAGGGACAAATACTTAATGTTAAAGGAGACAGTATCTCATGAGCTGGAGCTGTGGAGGCCCGGATCGAATCTTTTTCTCCCTCCACGGCAGATCAGCCCATCATAACCCTCTGGTGCAGACGATCAGATGGTTACGTTCTGTCAGTCCGCTACAGTGGGCATCAATCATGGCTCTGTAAATCCAGTTTTCGATCCATTCAAGCAGAACAACACGCACTAAGACTTTTGTACTGGTGGAACTGTGCTGTACTTAGAAAGAAGCAGGAATAGATATTACGGATCTAATAATGACCTGGCCGAGACAATGTCGCCTCTTCTATTATCCTTTGTCCAGATTGGTATATCTAACAGATCTGCAGGAGTGCTTCCTTCACCCATATAGTCTAGTAGGAAAGACCAGTCCTCAAATGCATGCCGGGAAATACCTTATTTTGTAAACCCAGAAATACCAACATGAAAATACAATATAATTGTGTTTTATACATTAAATTCTGTATATATAGAAGCCCTTTTCCAGTTGTGACTTTTTATCACTCAAGCACTAACATCATCGTCATCCCTTCTTCTCCGCATGACCTTCAACTTCAAAACGATGAACGACCAGGTACCCCCCAACACATCAAAGACCCATTCAACTGGTTCATCCGGTACGAGTCTAATAACGAAGCCGACCAAGATGGATAGAGCCCCCAAAACAAGCGAGTAAGCCCACTGTGTACCGGTAAGTCTGACGACGGAGAAGACACGGCCGCCGACAAAAATGATTAGGATTTGGCAGCCCATCATTAGGAGAGTCACACATATGAATAGCCAGTTTCGGGATACGCCCTCGAGAAGGTTAATGCTGTTTTCGAGTTGGCGGTTGCTGTGGTTGATTAGTTTGGAAACAATATACTTTGCACTAGGGCTTCAAGGTAAAGCTGGGGGTGTGGAGTTGGATACACTGCTGATAGAGTATGGTGTAACGTACTTATACATATTAAAAATCTGCATCCAAACGTATGTATTAAATACCGCTGTCTGGAGCCCATCCTTGTCGTCAGGTGTATAGGAGAAGATACTGCTTCCCGCAAAGTGAAGGACAAGAGTCACCGCTAGTTGGTAGATTGATTGCCCTATGATCATCTTCCACATTGGGATTGTGATTAAAGGAGCCGATCTCGGTTCCGGCTTCCGGTCTAATACTTTGCGCGATGGAGGGTCGGTGGCCAGTGCCAGGGCTGCTAACGTGTCTTGGAACAGATTTACCCACATGAGCTGTACAGCAGTAAGAACCGACTGTTCATTGGAACTGGCCACGGATGAGACGAAAGCGAGTCCGACAGAGGTGAATGTGATGGTTATTTGGAACTGCGGTCATGAGATGGTTAGCAACACAGTCGTTTCTTAATGGAGGGATTGGGTTTACGATTTTACCTGCAGAAATTTCTTGACGGCATCGGAGACAGCTCGACCCCACATGATTGCTCTCACAATCGAGCTGAAGTTATCATCCATGAGGACAATTGATGAGGCTTCGCGCGCGACTTCAGTTCCGGAGACGCCCATGGAAAATCCAACATCGGCTGCAGTCAGAGCAGGGGCATCATTCGTTCCATCACCGGTGACAGCGACAGTTCTTCCCATTTCTTTCAATCTACGAACCAATGTTCTCTTGTCTTCCGGGCTAGATCTCGCTAGGACTTTGAGACGTGGAATGACCTCGAGCTGTTGTGAGTCGCCAAGCTGACGAAACTCTCGGCCTTCCATCGTAACATCTTCTGGGTTTGTGAGAATACCACATTCTTCAGCAATAGCTTTGGCTGTCAAAAGGTTATCACCCGTCACGATACGAACGGCCACACCAGCTTTATGGCAAGACCGCACGGCGTCCCGAGCACCGTTTCGGAGAGGGTCTCGAATACCCATGACGCTGAGGAAAGTAAGACCTTGGAGAATGTTTTCTATCTTTAATTCTTCAACCTGATCATCCAGTTCACCAAGGGGAGGCCATACATCGAAGTCACGGAACAACACGATAATTGTTCTCAAGGACCGGCCGGCATAATTGGCGATTATCTGGCGCAGGCCCTGGGCCATGTCTGCGTTGATCGGTCGTGTGGAGAGCCCCTTGCTTGGGTCTTCAATTGCTTCGGTACACTTGTCAAGCAGCACCTCTGGGGCCCCTTTCACATATGCACGATACTTGCCGTTTTCCAGTTGAGCAACTGTGACCATACATTGGCGAGCATTTTCGAACGGAAACACTTCTACAATTTTCGCATTTGAACGTTCATCATCAAGTTGGCTCATTCCTAGATGATCTCGAGCGAATGTTAAGAGGGCAGCTTCTGTTTTAGAACCCACATATGACTTGATACCTGCTTCGGCACTTTCAAATGCGGTAGAGTTGAGTGAAATGGATTGCCTGAGAAGTGACCGAGTGTCAGGCGCCAGACACCGAGTGTAGTCGCTGGTAGTTGGGCTGGTGGACGGATCCGTGGTATTGTTGTCTACCTGTTGTGGATCAACGAACTTGCCGGTAGTGCCAATCACCCCAGCGACGACCGTCATCTTATTCTGGGTCAGTGTCCCGGTCTTGTCCGAGCATATATCTGTCGCATTCCCCATGGTTTCGCAGGCCCTCAACATGCGGACTAGGTTATGATCTTTGAGCATCCTTGTGGTTGCAAAAGCCAGTGCAAGGGTCACAGTCAGCGGAAGACCCTCTGGGACTGCAATCACCACGACAGTGAGTGAGATGATAAAGAGATCCAGAAACTGTTGTCCCTTTTCCGCTGGTGTTAGACTACTGTGAGGAAGGCTGGCGAGGAATTTGATAAAGAGGATGATAAATAGAACAAGGGCTGCCAACCCACCAAAATTGGCGATGTACTTCGCCAACACATTGAGCCGTGTTTGCAAAGGTGTAAAGCCAGGATCATCATTTAGTGTGAGGAGAATCTTGCCATAACTAGAATTGATGCCAGTCGCAACCACCAAGTACGACCCGACCCCTTCAGCTACACTTGACCCGGATATTATGAAAGGGTCTAAGCTTTGAGTATCATTGTTCCTTCGAATCGCATCGATAACTTCATCTCCAGAGTGTTTTCGTAGGAGATCAGATTCGCCGGTGGCGGACGCCTCATCACATCTGACATGGTAACCCTGGATTAGAACCCCATCCGCTGGGATTACATCCCCGGGCTCCACATGTACAACATCTCCCACAACTAGGTCAGAGATCGGGACTTCACGAGCGTGACCGGATCGAACGACCGTCACGTTGCGATCTAACTTCTTCTTGTTCAATTTTTGAAACTTGATTTGCTTCTGAAAATCATTCGCGGCGCCGACAAGAACAATGACAATGATGGCAACGAGGATCGAGACCCCTTCCACCCATTCAACGGGCGGATTGCGAGCTGAGTGCTTAGTCGCAAGTGTCTGGTACAAGCCAAGCGCTAAAGAGACAATTGCCGCTCCAGTTAAAAAGAACAGAACATGGTCATTGTATGCCATCCACATGAGCTGGAAAATGCTCGGCTGTTTCTTCACTGGAAGATGATTATTCCCGAAGGCCTTTGTCCTGTCTGTAAAGCGCGCATTATGTTGTCCTGTCGCAATTTCCGTTGTTTCGACAGAGTCCGCAATCGTTGATTCATCGACACTCAGTCCACTGTTTCGGTCAGTCCGCAGCCCTTTTTCTAACCCGGCAAGACCTCCTAACGCGTGGAAGGTCTCTAGACTTCTAGACTCTATGAGTTCACTGAGTTGCTCTACCGTGATATCGAACGTGCTTCTGGGGCAGTCAAAGATCGTAGGGTCGCTTGTATTGGCATCTGGTTTGTCATTCAAGTGTTTCTGACTCCATTGATATTAATCCACTAATCCATATTGATCGAGGAAGGTATTGCGCGTACCATGATGGTTGACTGCGTGGAATGCCACCGTGGATTCCGAGATTGTTATCGATATGGTAGTAATCATCCCTGAACTTATCGTGAGGGAATGTCTAGACTTCGACTGGAGAGACCATGGTCGGTTGGGGAAATATTATGGTGAGATTCCTGAAGGTTTTCGGGGTTATTCAATGATGGGGAAAAAGAAAAGCTAGAACAAGGAGAATATAAGTTGAGGAGCGAAAGACATAGCGTTCACTGTGGCAGTGGAATCTTCCTAACGGGGAAGGCAGCCAAGGAATCCCAGTGAACTCCATCTAATTTACCTTTTTTCATGTATTGTACGGAGTACGTATTCCAGTACTGAGTTTTACCCCCACCCCACCTTGAAGACGGAGGCCTAATAAGGCTGAGTAAACCACGGGTCTATTGTTTACTCGCTGTATATATCTATCTATCTACATACCGAGTAAACGCAATGCGAAGATTAATGATAATTCCGTTATATACTTTCAGTATAATCCTATCACATCTTTCAGGCAATTGCAAGATGATCGGTCACATCCGGATGTACGTAAAATGCGATCGCGATGATCAAATACCTAGGCACCGACGGTCGGGTTAGACAGACGATCCTCCCCAAAAGAAGCAAAGAGGGAAAATACTTACGTCCCAATCAGTAATAATCCTTCGAAGTAATTCGACTTCCCCTCTCGAGTCAAGCAGTTCATCACCACCACAGCAAGGGAGAAGCAAGCGGTTTCGAAAGTATTGAACCGCAGAGACATCGGCTGCCCAAGAACCCATCCACAAATCACCAGGAACGGGGTCACAAAGAGTGCAATCTGAAGCGTGCTTCCCACAATGACTCCAATGGCGAGATCTAACTTGCCGCCCATGGCGGCATTCACCGTGATAGCAAATTCGCCCGCATTGCCGACAATGGGGACGACAATCATCCCCAAGAAAGCCCGACTGACCCCGTATACCTCCACAAACCCGTCTACGCCTTCTACCAAGTAATCGGAACAGACGGTGACTCCGAGGGTTGCAAGGATCAGAATTATACTAGCGGGAAGGGGTTCTAATTCGCGCTTTTCTTCCGATTCCTCCTCGGTGCTAGCGAAAAGATGGGCGTGGCTTTTCAGCTGGAAATAAAGATAGACCAAGTAAAAAATGAGTAGGAAAATCGAGGTGATATGGGATAGGGTGAGGATATAATCGTCTCCCTCGGGTAGTTCGGCGAGAGTAGTCGAGTATAAAGCGGAGGGGATGATGAGCGAGGTGGAGGCAACGATCATCAAAGACGACATGATTTGAGTGACATCGATGTTGAAGGATAGCGTCTCTTTCCCATATCCTCCACCTAGGAAGCAGCATCCTAGAACCTGTAAGAGAATCCGAGTAAGTGGATCAACTAAAACCTCAGTCCGACTTTATATCCCTTACCAGAAGAGTTCCGGAAAGAATACTGCCAACCATACTCGATTGAACAATGTTGATCTCCCCCTGAGTTACGGCAGTGATTCCCACCTGAACAATTGACCGGTGTGGTTAGCGACCGTGGCTAAATGTTGAGTAACGGGAAAGAAAGGTGAGCTCACGATCATCTCTACCGCATTTCCGAAGGTCGCATTGATCAATCCTCCCACCGTCTGTCCCACACTTTTAGACAACTCTTCGGTTGCAAAGGAAAGCAAAGAAGCCAGAGGGAAAATGGCTAAGAAGTTCAGCATAAACACAGCTGATGGATCCCATCCTCGAGCACCGGATAGAATGCCCAGGAAGACAAAAACCAGCATCACATTTGCGTAGCTCGAGAAAAGAGTAACCCGGATGGCGTGCCAGGCATTTTTCTGGACAGCACCAGCCATGATAAGGATGCAGTTGAGGAGGGAGAATATCCACAGGGGGAGGATGGAATTAATTGACTTTCAGTTAATAGGGAAGACATTCCATATCGGACGCTTCTCTCTGCCCCCCTTCAAAGAAACAATAATACCCGGAGGGGGTGTGTTCCATACCTTACTTGGTACGTTCTTGTCAATACCGTATATTACCAGTGCGGGAACTTTGATTGGTAGAAATGTGGATGCCTAGAGATGAAGCTTCACGCTCAGGCTCTGGAGGGTGGGGACGGGACGGACAAGGCAACCAGTGATAGAATGACACTTTGGCCCTGTAGGGCTGAACGGCCCGTAAACTTTCCAAACAGGAACCGTACCAGCCTGTCTATTGAGGCTCACCGTATTTCTTGTTTCCCTCTTGTTTACATTCGTTGTGTCAGGTCCTAAGGACCACCACCACCACCACCACCACCACCACCACACGTTCAG